AGATTTAAATATTTAAAATATATTTATAAATTTTGTAAACATTTAAAATAACTATAAAAAATTAAAATTATAATAAATAAAATAATATGTAATACAAAATTCATTAATCTGAGTAATTATACTGAACACTAGAATTATAATTCATAATTAACATTTATTTTTCAATAGTAATGAAATTTTCTACTTTCACAACTGACATTTTAAATTTGAAATGAAAAAATTTAAATATTTGAATTTAAATAATATAGATAATAAATAAATTTGTGATTTCATGTGAGAAGAAATAAAGTCATTTTTTATATTGTTGTATAAAATTAAAAAATTTAAAAATATAAATTTTAATTAGTTAATTAATAATAAAATTTTCTAATTATAAATATAACCCGTTATTAATTTTATCTCTTAACTTTCATAACCAACATTCAAATGCTAAAAATATGAAAATAAATAAATAATTAATTTTAAGCGATTATAATTAATTAATAAATTGTATTAATTGATTATTAAAATTTAAAAGCATCATATAATATAATATATAAACACAATAGATTTTAAATATTTAAAGTATATTTTTTTAATTTCAAATTTTTTAAAAATAACTATAAAATTAATTTAAATTTATAATAAATAAATTAATATGTAATACAAAATTAATAATCTTGATAATTAATATGAAATTAGAATTATAATTCATTAATTAATATTTATTTCTTAATTAATAAAATTTTGTAACTTTCACAATTGACATTTAAAAAATTGATAATTTAAAATAATTATTGACTAATAATACTTACTATTTAAATGTTATTATTTAAAATCAAATTAATTTGAAATGAATTTTTTTAATTCATTTTTAATTTATTAACCCATAATAGAATTTGAAATGAATTAATTTGAATGGTTGAGATCTAAAATAATAAGAGTTAAATAAATGATAAATTGTTATATTATGAGAAAAATACAAGTATTTTTTATAGTAGTAGTGTAAATTAAAGATTCTTATTTTTTAAAATACATATAATTAATTATATACAACATATTTTAAAAAATATATAATTTATATGTGATTAATATGTAAAAAGTTTAGAATTTTGATAGTTTAAAGTGAAACTAGCATTATAATTTAGTAATAATATTTATTCTTTAATAACAATTAAAATTTTGTAACTTTTATAACTTACATTACAAAAATAGATAATTTAAAGTAATTAATTAACTTATAAATGCTTTGTTATTTAGACTTTATGTTTAAAATAGAATTAACTTAAAATGAATAAATTTAATGGTTAAAATTTAAATAATAAAGAATTAAATGAATTATGGAATTTGCTGATGGGAAGAAAACACATACAATATAATTTATATGCAACGGATTAAAATAAATTAATATTAATTCAATGCCATTTTCATCGAATTTAATAGCTTAAATCATTTATGATTGTCTAATTTAAATAAAATAATTATTAAATTACTTAAATGTGTAATAATAAATTTATATTAAATTAATATATTGAAAGTTTATGATGTTAATAATAATGTGATACTAGTATTATGTTTCATTTATTAATTGATATTTGTTATTTAATAACTATTGAAGTTTCGTAACTTTCATAATCGATATTTTAAAAATTTAAAATTTAAAGCAATTAGTTAATTAATAATGAATGTTATTTATTTAGAATAAATTAATTTGAAATAAATTAATTTGAATGACTGAGATTGAAATAAAATAAAATAAATGCTTAGAATTTCATATGGAAGTCATTTAAATAATAGTATAAGATTAAATATTCTTGAAATTTAAAATGCCTATAAATTATATGCAATGGTTTTTAAAAATCAATTATTTTAAGTGTTTTTCATAATTTAAATTAAAAAATAATTATAAATTAATTAAATAGTATGTAAATTTTTAGATAATTAATGTATCCAAAGTTCATAATCTCAATAATTAATGTGAAACTAGCATTATAATTCATTCATTAATAACTATTAAAATTTCATAAATTTTATATGATATTTCAAATTGAAATTTTAAAACAACTAATTAATTAATTATGATATTATTTAAAATATAATTAATTTATAATATAATAAATTTAAATGTTGTACATTTAAAATAATAAGAATTAAATAAATGACTTGGATTTTATATAGAAAGAAACGCAAGTCAATAATATAGATTTTAAAAAAAATTAGAATAATAAAATTTTATCAATTCATTAATAATAATATAATTCTATAATTATAAGTATAATTCATTAATTAATATTTATTGCTCAATAATTATTAAAATTTTGTAACTTTCATAACAAACATCTCAAAAGCTGAAAGTTTAATGAAATTAATTAATTAATTATTCTTGAAATTAAAAAATATATAATTTATTTACAATGGTTTTTAAAATATTACATATTTAAAGTTATTTTTATAATTTCAAATTATAAAAATAATTAAATAGTATAATAAATAAATTTTTATATAAATAATGGATACAAAATTCTAAATCTTGATAATGAATGTGAAGCTAGCATTATAATTTATTATTTAATATTTATCCATAAAAAGTACTAAAATTTCATAACTTCCATAAACAACATTTTGAAATAAAAAATTTAAAAGTAATTAATTTATTAGATATTATATTATTATTATCGAATCAATAGAAGTAATGTGAAAAAAATTGATATTCTATCATAGGAAATAGATTATCTATGCAACTAGTTGTTTTATTATGAGTATAAAGAAATATTTACAAGCATATGCATAATAAATAAACAACATTTTGAAATAAAAAATTTAAAAGTAATTAATTTATTAGATATTATATTATTATTATCAAATCAATAGAAGTAATGTGAAAAAAATTGATATTCTATCATAGGAAATAGATTATCTATGCAACTAGTTGTTTTATTATGAGTATAAAGAAATATTTACAAGCATATGCATAATAAATTACTATAGAACAAAGGCATAACAAATAGTCTAATCAAATATTTATGAATCTAATACAAGCAACACAGATTACACCCCTACTAAAGACGTATATATTTATCCTGTAATAAATAACAATTCCTTACTTGAGTTGCTACACTTAGAAATCATATTTTCCAAGAAAAAGGAGATAATGCTACCTGATTATTATCTCAAAAGCCCTAGATAATACAAGCTCCTATATCAAACATACACACATTCTTATAAGCATTAAACAATAAATACAACAACAATAACAACATAAACCCTTTATCTCACTACGTGGGATGAGCTACATGAATCATTTTTCTCTATTGTGTAAATAAGTAAAACTAATTAGCATAGTAGCAACTTACCTCTTATAGATGCTCCTAAGTAAAATTTAGATAAAAAATCAAACTTTTCATTAAGATCTCTAAGTAAAATTTCTCTAACATCAAAACAATCAATGTAATATTCTACATCTAATTACAATCAACCCTAACATAATCTAATAAGAACAAAATAGTAGATAATCATTAGAAGGAATAAATGAGGAAGAAGGGAAAGAGGAGGAAAGAGGGCTCCTGATGAAGAAGAAAGGCAAGGGGGAAGGGTTTGGATGACAACATTTGATTGAGGAAAGAGGAATGAGGAGAAGATGAGGGCATGTTGGTGGAGGCTTTGCAGCATGAGAGAAAATAAAACTAGGGAGAGGGCTTGTGACTTGAACTTTTGATAAAAAGGGGCTTGGTTGTTATAGAGGAAGGGGAGGGGAGATATTGTGATGTCATAGTCTCAAGTGGTTACTTGAATCATGTAGATAGGTGACAAAGATCGTGCGCAGATGCAGGAGCATGCAAGAGAGAGTTTGATCGGGCTTTCACGTGAAGAACGCATGAGATAAAGCTAGTCGGGTTTGTGAGGTCTAGTTGGGTTCATTGTTTATGGGCCATAATAAATTTATACATAATTATATAGGCCTTGGTTTATGTTTGATAAATCTCTGATTACTTGAGCATTTAATCAATTTTAATTAGTTCAAATAAAGAGTAATTATAAATAATGGACTTTTATTGTAAGTATTTTATGCAATGTAGAGAAACAAGCATAATGATTAGAATTACCTATGTTGTACCATTCTTAAAATAAGGTTTACTTCAATTTTTTACTATAAAGGAACTGAAGAGGCTGAAATTGTGCTTCCCTTATTTGCATGGTTATATTTGAATGGGAGTATTTATTTTACTATTTTTTGGCAAAACTTGGAAGCCATCTTATTTGAAATATTTTTCGCCAGTATCTTTATTGGCAGTGAAAGTGTAATATTATTGAACTTTGCAGGTGAAGGCTTTCATAAATCCAGATGAAGTTGATGAATGGCTGTTAAGTAATCCCTTGCGTTGCCCTGGTGCATTGCACTTTGTGGAGAAAAACTCAACGATTATAAGTTATGGTCTTCAGACTAATTCCACTTCTATGTTGAAGAGAGGGAACTCTGAGGATCCAACATTCAAGTTCCAAATTCCTCTTCAGGTTGCTGCAGAGCGTGAAATTGCAAGGAGTTTGCTTGGAGGTACCAATGCTCTTCCCTTTGATGTCTGCTTCATTTCTTTACTTATATTCTCCATTATTATGAACAGGATATCCAGGCAAATGATTGAAATGAAATGATGAATATGGGTATGACAGTTGTTAATTTGTTATTGTATATCATCAATATCAAGGAATATTAGCAGTTAAATAAATGTATTTATTGGAAATTTAATTTAAATTTTTTAGAAAAGAAGAACACTCTTTGGAATCTATTTATGGTTGAAGTGTCAAAAGTTTAGATATCCTTTTTTAAAAAAAAAAAGAAAGCTATTGCTTGTGAAAGAAAGTGAGTGTATTAGAAGATTTGTTGCTTTTTCTAAGACATTTACCAAGACTCACAATTTATATTCATAGTATTTAATTACTATCTTCACTTAAGTTAAGTGTGATTTATACTTTTATTTTTATTATCATAAAATATATTAAATTCCGTAAGTTTTGTGAGCTTAAATCTACTATAAGGTTTGAATTTTGGTTTAATTTATTGCACTATGAATTATTTCAAATCTCATCATGTTTAAAAGCTATGGTTTTGTAGAAATTAAACCGAGAAGCACATATTGTTTATTCCTGCTAATGTAACACCAGTAAAAAAAAAGTAAATTTTTAATTACAACGATTGCCAACAAAGATTCAACAAGCTAATCCATCATAGTTGTTGCAAAGCTGATGATTATTATATGGATATGTTGTAACTTTTTCAAAATTTGAACTTTACTTTTCACTAATGCTGCCATATATGTATGAACAGATCCCAGCTTTGAATGGGTTGTTGGATTCAAAGAATTTGCTCACCCTGCTACAGAAACATTTTCTGTTGTTGGGGAAGCTGGAGCAACGTTTTTCCTTGCAGTTGCCATGTTTGGATTTGTAATTCAAACAAGTTCTTTTGTTACAGAGAAGGAACTTAAGCTTCGTCAGGTAGTAGCACTAATATAACTTGCACAATACTAACCATGTTGCTACGAGTTTTATCTGCATTCAAAATATCCAGCTGATGATGAAAGTCATTGGTTGAACATTGCAGGCTATGTCCATTATGGGTCTCTATGAATCTGCCTATTGGTTGTCTTGGTTTACCTGGGAAGCTTTTCTTACGCTTATTGCTTCTCTTTCCACGGTACTGTTTGGGATGTTGTTTCAGTTCAGCTTTTTCCTACGCAACAGCTTTGCAATCCTCATCCTTGTATTCTTCATGTTCCAACTTAATATGGTAATCCTGTTACAAATTAGGGTCCTCTAGTTCCAACTTAATATTGATCTTTTATTTCATAGTATTTAAGTAAAGAATTGAGTTTATTCATTCATTGGCTGTCTTCACAGTTGAGTTTTGCATTCTTGATATCAACTTTTGTAGACAAGTCATCATCAGCAACTACAGCTGGATTTTCGATATTCATAATAGGCTTTTTGACACAAGTAAGATCCTCAAACGAGTTATTTTAAATTTTAAAATGTCTTTGTAGATATTCAAAACATATATAAGTTTTTTTTATTCTTGCAGCTTGTGACAACATTTGGTTTTCCATATGCTGAGAACTACTCCAAATTATATCGTTTCATATGGTCTTTATTTCCTCCCAATCTTCTTGCAAAAGCTCTTGATATACTTGTTAGTGCGACTGCCACACATGAAGATCCAGGGATTCGTTGGCATCGGCGAGGTTATTGTACTTATAAGGAACCTAACTGTGTAATGACTATTGTAAGTTCCATTACCAGATTTACAGATTATTACATCATCAGGTTTCGTTTAGGTATGGACTGATAAGCAGCTTTCTACAGGAAAATATCTTTCATTGGCTTATCTCCACATTCTTTTTGTGGTTTGCCTTGGCAATATATTTGGATAATATACTTCCAGATTCAAATGGTGTTAGAAAATCAATTTTTTACTTTATGAAGCCTTCATACTGGACTGGGAAAGGTGGAACTAGAGTGGAAGGTGACCTATGCGGTTGTGCAAGCTCTATTCCACCTATAGAGTATGTTTCTCCAGATGATGAGGATGTTCTTGTAGAAGAAACAACTATAAAACAACAAGTAGTTGATAACAGTGTTGATCCGAATGTAGCTGTTACAATACTTGGCCTTGCAAAAACGTACCCAGGAGCTACTAAACTTTGTTGTTGTAAATGCAAGAGGTCTCCTTATCATGCTGTTAAGGTATTGCAACTTTTGTGTGTTTATATCATTTCAAATATAAATTTTCAGTCTTGGCTTTTTCTTTACAGGGTATTTGGGTCAATATAGCAAAAGATCAGCTATTTTGCCTTCTAGGACCCAATGGAGCTGGAAAAACTACAGTTATTAATTGTCTGATTGGTATTACTCCAGTTACTGATGGAGATGGTAGGAGACTTGTATTTCCTATATCTTTTTTGTTTGCTAAAAAAAGTTTTATAAATAATCATTACATCTTGCAGCTTTGATTTATGGAAATTCGATTCGAAGTTCTGTTGGTATGTCAAATATTCGAAGAACGATTGGTGTTTGTCCTCAGGTTCAGATTCTTTTCATTCATGAAAACTAATATAGTTCTATTCACAAGTGTCAGAAAACTAAGTTGTCAATATGCATTTTTTCTTTATTAGTTTGACACTTTGTGGGATGCATTGACAGCAGAAGAGCATCTGCATCTTTTTGCTAGCATTAAAGGTTTACATCCTTCAATTATCAAATCGGTAGGTGATTTATGGCTTATTCATTTGTATGAGATGATTCCAGAACTTTGAATGGGAGTTTAAAAAAGCAATTTGCAAGATACTGTTTTCATGAATTACCATATTTTCTTCCCACGTCTAATAGTTTAACATAACTTCACCCATTTTTATCAATTGAGTGCGAAAATGCAGGTAAGTGAAAAGTCTTTGGCTGAGGTGAACCTTACTAGTGCCTCTCATATACGATCTGGAAGCTATAGTGGAGGTATGAAACGTCGGCTTAGCTTTGCGATAGCCCTGATTGGAGATCCACAAATGGTTTTCCTAGATGAGCCGGTAAGAAAGTGCAATGTTTTTAATATACGTAATGATTGTGATTACCATTTTTTGCGGCCTTTTTTCTCAACATTTTGATATCTTTTATCCAGGTGGATTGTTCCTTTGTTTATTTTCTGATGATGAACTGTTATCATTTTTTTTTGCCAAAAATTTTGATTTTCTAGAAGTTCCAACGCATGAATTTTTAACTCAATTAGATTTGCAATTTTTTAGTACAACTGCAACAACATCAACCATTTATCCCATTACATGGGGTCGGTTACATGAATCAATTTTTTTTTTATTGTGTCATGTTAAGAGTTCAATTCCATTTAAATCTAATAAAAAAATATCATTTATAAAATTTTATAACCAAGTCTTTTTAGGTCTACCTCTACCTTTCTTAACATAAGTCAAATCTAATACATCTAATCTCCTAACCGGTTCATCGGAAGCCCGCGGTTTTATGTGACCAAACCATCTAAGGCGACTCTCTCTAATCTTCTCTTCCACTGGAGCTTTTCCAACCTTCTCGTGTATATGCATGTTTCGTATCCTTTCTTTAAGAGTAAAGCCACTCATCCACCGGAGCATCCTCATCTCTGCAATTATGCTTCTCTTTTGATGGCCAACATTCTGCGTCATAAAGCATTGCAGGTCTCACAACCATCTTACATAATTTTCTCTTAAATTTGAGGGGCACGTTTCTATCACACAACAAGCCCGATGCATTCCACTTCAACCATCCAACTTAAATTTTACTAATAATATATCCATCTATTTTACTATCACTCCAAACAATAGACCCAAGATATCTAAAATGTGTACTCTTTTTAATGACTTGATCACCCAAAGTCACAATTCCCCCACTAGATCGATTAACACTAAAATTATATTCCATATATTTGATTTTAGATCTACTCAAATGAAAACATTTAGATGCTAAGGTTGACTAGTTTACCTGTCTGCAATTGTTTTAGTAATGCAAAAAAAAGGACATTTTGAGGAGATATGCTATAATTACCATTTTTGGTGCAAGCAAGTTTCTTCATATTAAAACATTATTTACACTGAATCTGTTTGCTTCAAGTAAGTTGAGCAACTTCTAGAGGGTTATGTTTTTCAAAAATCCAATCCGCCACAGATGCTGAATGATGGAACTTGCTGACTGTCCAGCTAAAACCATTAACCACGGCAGATTCTGTCATCTTTTGTTGTGAAATAATTTTAAATTTTATAAAATTGTGCTACCTACAAAAATTCATCATAGATGTTTTTTATTTGCAGGAAACATGTCTACTCTTCTGATGCTCCTTACTCTTTTTTCCTAGTTCATGCTTAACTGATTCAAAATTTTGTTTGTTTCAGACCACTGGGATGGATCCTATCAGCAGAAGACATGTATGGGATATTATAGAAAATGCAAAGAAGGGAAGAGCTATTGTCTTGACAACCCATTCTATGGAGGAAGCTGACATATTGAGTGACCGCATTGCCATCATGGCAAAGGGAAGGTTGAGGTGTATTGGAACCTCTATAAGGTTGAAGTCAAGATTTGGAACTGGTTATATTGCTAATATTAGTTTTATTGGAAGTACTCCTATTGATGCAGAATGGGAAGCTGCACATGAGCGTAAAGCTCAGCTTGTGAAGCATTTCTTCAAACATGTAAGCCACAAATTAAGCAAAGGCAATGGTGAATTACTATCATGAGAGTCTCTGACATAAAGTTGCATTTGACAGCATTTAGATGTGGAGCCAAAAGAGGAAAACAAATCATTTTTGACATTTGTCATTTCTCGTGATAAAGAAAGGCTATTGACGGTAAGTTAAATGTGTTTTGGATTAAGGCTTCGTTTGGGATGGCTTTTTTACAGCTTCTTAAAGCAGTTTTTTAGAACAAAAATTTTAATTTTTGTACTAAAAAAAATACTTTAAGAAGCACGAAGAAAACCGTCCCAAACAAAGCCTAAATCCTGATTGTCTGCATATATTATTATTCTTTGTTCTGAATTGGAATCTAAAAAGTTGGTTTACATAAATTTCTTAATCAGGACTTCTTTGCTGAGCTTCAAGATAGAGAGGATGAGCTTGGAATCTCAGACATTCAACTTGGTCTCACTACACTTGAAGAGGTTTTCTTGAACATTGCAAAGCAGGCAGAGTTAGAAAGCGCATCAGTTGATGGGAGCATGGTTTTGCTAAATTTATCATCTGGACCTTCAATACAGGTAGTTTGCTTTAAAATAATTTACTCGCATCACATTGGAATCATGTTTGGATTGAAATGGCTTTACTATATTATTTCATTATGGTACAATTTAGGCTTCGTTTGGGACGGTTTTCTTACTACTTCTTAAAACAGCTTTATGCTGTCAAGTTGTGGACATAATTTATCATAAATTAAACTCCTAATCAGCATGAGAAATTTACTTCCAAGTACTAGAAAGCTGCTTTAAGAAGCAGAAAGAAAGCCGTCCCAAACAAAACCTTAATTATTCTTTCTAAATGCTCAATATGGTTAGATAATTTCAATATCTGTTTATTATTTCTTTCAGATACCAAAAGGGTCAAGGTTTGTGGGGATTCCTGGAACAGATACAACAGATAATCCAAGAGGTTTAATGGTCGAAATCTACTGGGAACAGGATGATTCTGGTAATCTCTGCATCTCAGGACATTCACCTGAAATCTCTATACCACCTAATGTAAAAATTCCGGAAAATTATCTCACTTCTAGTAGAAATTCTCGGCGAGGATCTTCATCAAAGATTGGATTTGTCATCCACCCAAATCAAATTCTAAATAGATGATTTTGAACTGATTATTTATTGCGAAGAAATAAGGATCCATCAACATTTTTTACTTAGAAAAAATTTAAGTTTTTTGTTTTAGATTCATTCAGCCCAGCACAGAATTGGTTCTCCATCCATGTAATTCTTATTTATAGTTGTAAGGAATGAAATTGTCTCTGTTTTTCCTATTGAGAGTAAGCTATTGATTCATTTACCAACCTAATTGTCAAAGATATGTTACAGCCTAATGTGTGAAATTTTGGTTTACTAAGGATTTCACTTTTATGATAAACTCTTACACATTGGCATATCCTTATGATGTTAATGAAGTTTTCTTAGAATTTTTATTTTTTGGAAGTAATTATTTGCAAATATAATATGAGGTCTAATGGGTTTTGAGATTGGCCTTCTCATAGTACCAAGATGAGGCAAGATGTGTTTCTCTAATGAGAATGAAGTTTTAAGTGAGCTAACATGATATTTATTATTTATCGACTAATTTAGGCTTCGTTTGGGACGGTTTTTTTATTGCTTCTTAAAGCAATTTTCTAGTACAATTTTTGTACTAGAAAGCTGCTTTAAGAAGCAGTAAAAAAGCTATCCTAAACGAAAACTTAGTTGAGATGTTTATGTCATGTTTGTATGTGGTGTATGGAATTAGATTTGTATGGTATAATAATGAGATTAAGGTTTCATTTGGGATAGCTTTCTTACTATTTTCTACATTAATTTTTTAGTATAAAAGTTTTTAGTTAAAAAAAATATATGCTAAAAAATTGCTTTATAAAGCAACACAAAAAGTTGTCCCAAACGAATCATAAGTTTATACACTTGTTCTACCGCTATTATTGAGATTCATACAACGACAACAATAATATTAGCATTATCAATCTTTTATCTCACTAGATGTGATCAGTTACGTAAATATTTTTTCTCTATTGTGTCCAATTAAAAAAGTATATATATATATATATATTTATTTATCATGCTAGAATAAGAGTGTCCTAATATAATTTTGTTTATATTTTCTTATGAGATTCTTCAAATGAACTACTTATTTATTACCAGGCATTAGTCACTTATTTAAATAATGAAAATAATTGTTATATTTACAGCTTTTATAATATTATTATGAGTCATTATATTTTATATAAATATTTTAAAATATGTTATCTTATTTTAATTAATAGTAATATTTTTATAATTTTTATTTCTAGCAAAAAATTTTTAGCGGATTTATGTTCAAGACTCAAGAGGGAGAGCCCTCTACTACATCAATGTAAAATAAAAAATAAAAAAATATATTTATTTATTATAGTCATTTTAATATAAATTAAATAAATTAACATTTTATTTTGAACTATATGTTTTTTAGGGTTTAAAGAAAAGATAGTACATAATTAATTTTTTTTTTTTTGGGGAATATAATTAATTATTTTCATCATATAATAAATTTATCAATCTTGAAATTCATAACAATTAAATTTTATTCAAAATATTCCTTTTTTGGAAAAAAATTTGAATTTACTTTCAAATAAATTATATTTATAAATAATGAATTAAAATTTTATATTATGCTCATTTTGAAAAAAATAAAATTTCCTAGACTCATTATTATTAAATTTTAATTGAACATTTAATATTTTAAATCCTTTGATTTATTTTAAAATGAGTGTAAATATTTATTGCATCAATCTCAAAAAAACCAAAGACATTTAAAGCTCTCTTTTTCTCCATTTTTTTCGCAAACAAACTCTCCCTTCTCCATCCATCTTCCCGCTTAATCCTCCTTCCATCTTCCCCCTACCAATCGCCGGAAACTCCAAAACTAATCTCATCTTTCCTCTCCTATCAATCCACCCACCGCCGCCGGCCACCATGAACGACCTCTTCACCTCCAGCTCCTTCAAGAAATACACGGACCTGAAGCAACAGATCCATATAGATGACGTCGACGCCGGCGGCGGCAACGCCAAAAACCTCGAGAAATTCTTCCAAGACATTGAAATCATCAAAGAAGAAATCAAAACTCTCGAACAACTCTACCGCCGCCTCCAAGACCTGAACGAAGAGACCAAATCCGCCCACAACGCCAAAATGATGAAATCCCTCCGTTCTCGAATGGATGCCGATACAGAACAAGTTCTCCGGCGAGCCAAATCTGTGAAACAGAAGCTCGAATCCCTCGACCGGGCCAACAAAGCTAATCGAAACATTCCTGGCTGTGAGCCGGGCTCTTCTGTAGATCGAACCAGAACTACCGTGGTAGCTGGGTTGGGGAAAAAGCTGAAGGATCTAATGGATGAATTCCAGAACCTGCGAGCTCGGATTGCGGCTGATTATCAGGAAATGGTGGGGAGAAGGTATTATACTGTTACAGGAGAGAAACCGGATGAAGAAACTATAGAGATTTTGATATCGAGTGGTAAAGGTGAAAGCTTTTTGCAGAAGGCGATACAGGAACAGGGGAAAGGTGAGATCTTGGAAGCCCTTAGTGAAATTCAGGAAAGGCATGATGCTGTGAAGGAGATAGAGAAGAGTTTAATGGACCTGCATCAGGTGTTCTTGGACATGGCTGTGGTTGTTGAAGCACAGGGAATGCAGATTAATGATATTGAGAGCCATGTTGCTCATGCGAGCTCTTTCGTTAGGAGGGGCACGGTTGAGCTTCAGGAATCTAAGGTTTATCAGAAGAGCTCAAGGAAATGGTATTGTCTTGCCTTCTTGCTTGGCACTGTGCTTCTTCTTATTCTTCTTACGCCTGTTCTTATTACTTTCATTAGATCTATGTGAGATGAGGAAGATGATGAGACTGGTTTTTTATTTTTGATCATTGGATTATGAAGAGGGGAGCTTGTGGAGGGAATTCATCTGCGTTGAAGTGTTATGTTCTTTCTAAATTATAAAATGCTTGCAAGACATTCATTATGTAGTAGGAAGAGAGACTGATATTTTCAAAGAAAAGCAAGTCGTTTGCATATAACATCAATAACATGGTGTTGGCTAATGCCAACTCATTCATAGGATGATGATAATGTAACTTCAATCAATATTGGTTATATCTCTTAGACAATGGTGAATATGATTTTAGGTTCTATCACAATAATGATTTGTGCTTTAGGTCATCTCCAACCGAAAATCCCATTTTCCACTTTAAAATGACATAAAACTTCAAAATGCGGCAGTTCATCTCCAACGGAACTCCAATTTTCTTTTTTCGCGCGTTTCTTTTGCGAAGGTAACCATCTCTCTCCTGTTTTGCATGCTTCCTGCGAAGCTAAGCAGAGTGTGAAGGTAATCTTTTTTTTTTTTGCATAGGTGAATAGTCGGATGCCAATATTGGCGTTGCACTGTTCACCTACCGATTTTGGCGTGAGATTTGGAGTTTCAATGCAACGATTCACGGACTGCATACAATGGTATGCAGTTCGATTGGATATGATCTTAGGCTTAGTTTGTAATAATTTTTTTACTGCTTTATGAAACAGTTTTTTAGTATGAAATTTTCAATTTCTTGAATTAAAATTTTTCATACAAAAAAAATTACTTTAAAAAGCAATAAAAAAGTTATTCCAAATAAAGTCTTAGCCTGTTCCATCATTAAACTAAAGAGCACTACCTTCTGAAGCTTTGTTAGTAATGTCATATGTGCATCTATTCTTCATTTGGTTCTTAATCGATTGCTTCATTTGTACAGCATTGGTTCAGCTTAGTAGTGAAAAGGAATTAGAATGTCATTTAGAATCTATTTGGTTCAAGTAAAATGGGTATAAATATTTCAAATATAGGGATTTTCAAAATATTGGTGTATTTGGAATGCACCTTATAATGTAAATTAGTGTATTCAGGATTCGTCATTTTGGACGATTTTCAAAAACATCATAAATTTATCGGCAATGCCACCACCATAAATACAACATCAAGAGGGGATGAATGAATATCGCGTGTCACTCTAAAATAGGTTTAGCTACTACAATGGAGATCAAGTATAACTGAAGGGTGATAGGGCTTATAATTTACATCAACAGGTGACCCCAGATCATTGGAGAAGCCCACTAGAGTACAAATGGGTTCCATAGAGGAGGATATGTTAGGAACCATATTCTAGAATATAAGATGAATTTAGATCATCTTAGAGGCACGAAGAGTTACACTACAGCAAATGTTGCATCGAGACAAAATTTAAAAGTTGTGCGATATGAGGTCTCCTAACTAGGAAGAGCCAATTAAAAATAGGGCACTAGACTCCTTGGGAAGGAGTAACCAGAAGGTGGGGTAGCAATAGTATAGACGACGATGATGACGACAAGCATTTATCCCACTACGTGGGGTCGGCTAATCCTTTTTCTCCATTGTGTTTGATTAAGAGTCAATTTCTCATTTAGATCTGATAAAGAAATGTCATTTCTAATATTTTCTAATCAAGTATTTTTAGGTCTACCTCTACATTTCTCAACATATGTTAATTCTAATACATCTATTCTCCTAATTGGGTCATCGGAACGTCATCGTTTTATGTGACCAAACCATCTAAGGTGACTCTCTATAATCTTATCTTCCACTGGAGCTACTCCAACTTTTTCACATATATGCTCATTTTGTATCCTATCTCTAAGAGTAAAGCCACTAATCCACCTGAGCATCCTAATCTCTACAACACTTAACATTATGCTTCTTTTTTAATGGCCAACTGATGTGAAACATATATGGAAACAGGAATTGCTTAGGAAATTATAAAAAGTTGTTTAGCTTGCTAATTTTAAAACAATGTTTCACCAAGTTAGATTCTAGGATTTCTCAATTTTCAATATTATAATAGGGGCAATTACAATTAGATGAGAGATACAATTTAAAATAATCAAAAAATTGTTCTACACTTATGAGCCATTAATAAGAATCCACCGCTTAACAAATAGATAGTTCACCTTGAATTTCTCTCACTCATACTCTTTGAAATAGGCTTAAGCAGGAGAGCAATCTACACAATAACAAAGAAGCCACTAAAAGACAATAGGCACTAGGGTTTTTTATCAACAGAGAGTTTACCCGAATATGAAGAAGCCGGCCGCTGTGTGGAGACTCCTGGACAGCACAGGGAAGCTTCAAGCCTTCAATATTGTTGGACAGCAAAGGAAGCTTGCTGGAATCCTCTGAACAGCAATGAAAAACTACTCGAACAGCAAACTAGCTGGGTAATCTTGCTGAAATCCCGGATCTGAAGAAGCTGACGGATAGTGGGAGACTTCTTGTCAGCAAAAGGAAGCTCCCGGACTTTGGGACAGCAAGGGAGTTTGCTGAAGTTTTCTGCACAGCACATGAGTTGGTTTGGGACAGCACTTCGTGGATTAAAAGAGGCTGGACAGCAGTGTTAATGTGGCAGAAATTCCTCTCTAGATCACGGTCTAGTGGGGAGTTGGGTTAGGGGAAGTTGGTGGTGGGAGATAATTTCAAAATCTGAATTTAATTTCAGATTTTAGGTTGGATTTGGATGGGGAGAGATTTAAAATTTCAAATTTCAAATTTCAAACAAAGAGGAATAAAGGAGGGAAGAGGTAATTAATATCCTCTAATCTAGGGCTTAATTAGAGAACGAAATAAATTAGAGAAGGGGAGGGAAGGGGGGCCGGCTAAATGAGGGAAAAGGGGAGCGTCCACATTCAATGTATGTGGTTCTTTGCATTGATTGTTGATTGAGAAATTCAAATATGAATAAATTTCAGATTTGCATCAATTGGGGGGCTTCTTAAAAAATAGTTTTATTAATTAGGAAAGTATTTGAAATTCAAATCAATTTGAATTCAAATTAGGAAAATTTCCAAATTAATAATAAGATAAATTAGGAAGGTATTGAAGAGGCAATTTGAATTTTGAAATCAGGGGAATTATGGAGGAGGTGGGGCCGGCGGCTAAGGGGGGAGGGGAAGCCATTGAGTATAGGTGATGGGAGGGGAGGCCGGTGGGTTTAGGTGATGGGGAAGAGGAGGCCGGCGGATATTGGTAGAGGATGTGTGTAGACAAACTATGGAGGAGGTGTTTTGGTTGGCCGATGGTAAGGGATTGAAAGGGAGGTGGCCTGCGGCTTGATGAAATGAAAATGGTGGAAAGAAGAAAGGGAGGAGGGGAAGACCGAGAGCCCGGACTCTTCCGGCGACTGTCAGGTATTGCCTTGACCCTCTTCTAGGGTTCTCTCTTCTCCCAAGAGCTCACAAGGAAACAATAAACCAAAAGCTGAAATTTTTTATTAATCATTCATCATCCTAATACAAAGACTAAGGCCTTAATATATAGGCCTCCAAAATAAAAGAAGCTCAAAGACTAAGATGCCCTCAGGGGCACAATATAAAATAGATCTCTCATAGGGGTACAATGGTAAAAACAGAAATATAATAAAAGAAATATATGAATGCATCATAGGTAGAGGCTATGAATCGTAGCCGTCCATCTATGATTCCTCCGATGGCAGATGCATCGAAATCTCATGTTGATGTCCTCATCACCAACATTCTGTGTCATAAAGTATTGCAGGTCTAACCACAATCTTATAAAATTTTCCCTTAACTTTGAGAGGTACTTTTCTATCACACAACAACCCGATGCATTCCTCCACTTCATCAATCCAACTTGAATTTTATTAATAATATCTCCATCTATTTCACCATCACTCTGAACAATAGACCCAAGATATCTAAAACGTGTACTCTTATTAATAACTTGATCGTTCAAAGTCACAAACCGCCCACTAGATCTATTACTACTAAAATTACACTCCATGTATTCGGTTTTAGATTTTACTCAAACGAAAACCTTTAGACTCTAAGGTGACCTCCATAATTCAAGCATACCTTCAACTCCCTCTTTAGTCTTATGAACAAGAAGAATATTATCAGCAAAAAGAATACACCAGGGAACATGTTGCATATCTAGTATAGAGATAGTTTTTTTTTTTTTAAATATATCAAAACTATTTTAAATATTTTAAGTGTTATTAAAACTAATTATTACCGCCGTCCATCTTCATTACTATCACTAGAGACCACTTCCACTGCAGGTGATCACAGCATAAATAATAAAAAATATAATTTTAAGATATCAAATCTATTTTATGGTATGTCAAAATATAACTAAAATAGAATAAAAAATAAAAGTGATCATAAACAACTCCTTAATTAATTGCTTGAATGTCAATGCAATAGGCCAAAGTTATTGCTATGTTATTTTCCCAATGCTGCCTGGCTCCGAAGGGAGATTCCCCTCTGTAAGGCTGTCTGGTTTGAAGGAATTGGAAGGGAGGTAATGAAAATGAAAAAAAAAAAAAAAAAAAAAGTTTTCATCACTAAGATTTAAAATCCACAAAATTATATTTAGTTGACATCCATTAATAATACATAACACTGAGTGATGGTGTCATCTTATGTGGTGTTGAAGAAACAATAAAAAGACAATGGTGTTAATAAACAAATTGAACTAGATGAAAAAGAAAAAAAAAAGATTCAATATCACTGAAAATTTTCTCATTATGAGTGATAAATCATCCCATTCGATAAATGAAGAGACATCAAACAGATTTGAAAAACTATTAGAATCCATAATTGGAAAAGAAAATCAATGCTCTAATGGTTGACTAGCTCTAACTTTGATAGTATACTTCTGATAAAAAAATTCAGTATAATTAACTATGAATAAGCTACTTAGGTGCAGATTGAAATAAAATGAAGGAAATGATTCCATAACACTGAAAATTTTCATTTTATAAGTGATTAATCATCTGATTAGATGAATGAAGAGTCATCAAACAGATTTGAAAAACAATTAGAGTCCATATTTGGAAAAGAAATCACTGCTCTGAAGGTTGAATAGCTCTAACCTTGATAATATACTTTTTACAAGAAGAAGATGGAACACTATCAACATCTGAGCCACACAGAACGCCAAACTGACCATATCCATAGCCTATATGAATTCCACATTTGCGACAGAGTAGTTTTATTTTTGACTTGTAACAGCTCAGGCTGAAAGGGAAACAACTTAACTCATCTACCTGAGTGAATCTACTGAGATCTACCATTGGAAAATAAAGCATATCTTTCTTAGTAGATCTTTTATGAATAAAGCTTTGGGAAGATGCCACTTCTTTAGAAGATGTCAAATTCAAAGGATATCCACAGGAACCACAGCTGCATTAATGATACAAAACAATAAGGTTATAAAGGTTCATAAAGTTTTTTATGAGGATGATTCACTTTAAAATGAGTGCAATATATGATTAATCAATTAAGTATAATATTGCACCCATTACAAAGAAAATTTAGTTGCTATAAAACTCATCCTGATCAATATATTTTAGCAAGCTGATAGTTCTTAAACGTTCAAAAAACGTTATATGATCTTTAGATCATAATCCTAAGGCATGGAGAAACCCTATATGATCATACTCCAATGAATAAAACATATAGCTCCGAGATGTTTATTTATCTAAATATCAGTTCATAAATAAATGTAGAAAAACATATATAGGAATTGCAAAAGCAAGTATGATTCAGATGCAATAAATCACAAAGCAAGCATAAGATATATCCATGTTTGAATCTGGAGAAATTATTTTGAGCGGACACCCGACGATCCGGAGAACAATCAGAACGTGCCACGTCACCCAGTACAGAGCGGTACCGAACACCGGTACCGAACAAAAAAGTGACGTGGAGCATTCTAGTTGGTCTCCGGATGCCGTCCAGGATCTACACAGAATAATTTTTCTTGAATATGAGGATGCTGCAACACAAAAAAAAAGTACATTTAAATAGCATCTCAATATAACTTTTCCGAGTAACATGATGTAGGTTTCGAATTGTTCAACAAACAAGTCATTTTAGAAAGAAGAATGGAAGGAACAAAAAAAGTCAGCGAAATTAAACAAAAATAGCACGCATAGCATGAAAATATATTGCTTGGATTTGGGATTGATTAATCATAGTAAATTTTGACCCATTAAGCCAATGGTATGATGAGGTAATTTTGATGATAACAAATATATAATTAGAGTTACTAAAAAAAATTAACCTAATTAGGCAATAGGTTTTCTGAGTTCTAGTGGATCGTACTAAATGTTGGAAAATATTACATGTGATCTGATATGAGACTAACCATTATAAAAAACTTTTAGCAATAATTATAGCAAATAAAGTAGATTTACCACATCATTCAGTATCCTATTTGAGTATTAAACTTGGATTTACAAAATTTAGTAAATCCTTTTTCAGCTAAGTCCTACTTTCGGACAAACCGCTACATAATTCACCAAATTAAATTGATGAGCATAGAGATAAAAGGAAGATGTTCCAAATTCTTGAAGCTCCAACCATAAAGAATGAACAAAAGGAGGTAAGTGATACAACAAGATAATTCTAATGTGGATAAAATGTGACAAACCATCAATGACTTAACTCCATCATTATTTACACTCAGAGATGAGGCTGCAAATGAACTGAGCTGAGCCGAGTATGTGCAGATTCATGTTTGAGTTCATTTATTATCAGCTTGTTCAAATTCTGTTTGAGCTCAATTCGAGCTTTTTTGTTTGTGTTCAAATTTGATTTGTTTAAATTAATGGGTGTTCATATTTGGTTCATATTCGATTTGATAGTAAAAAAAAAAAACAAGCAATCTAAATTTGTAAGCATCTTTTTATTTGTTATGTTAATTTTTTCTTTGGTTAATGTTTAAAGTAGAAGAATAGCAAATGATCAGATGAAGTAAGAGTTCAATTAAGCGAATTTGAGCGATGTCAGGGAGAACGACGAGGGAAGAAACAAGAGGGTTCGGGGCTTGAGTAGCATCTAGGAGAACGAAGAGGAAAGAAAAATCAGTTTGGTACTTGAGCAGGGAGAAATAATAGGTAAGAAAGAAGGTCGGAGTCGGGGAGGATGATTAGACGAGGGTTGGGGTTTCGACAGATTTTTTTGTCCTTTCAAAACAAGAAGCGGTAGTTTTAATTTCTCTTAATTTATCATGATATTATAATATAAAAATAATTATAATTAAATAATATATAATATCGATTTAATAAATATGTATGATTTATTTTAATTAATAAATATTATAATATTTGATTAATTTAAATTTTTTTTAATAATTATTATATCATTATTTATAATAAATATAAAATATTTATATTATGTTTGTTTATCAATTTTATAATCAAATATGAATCGAGTTTTTAACAAGCTTATTCATGAGTTTTATATCGAACATGAATCGAGTTTGTTCATAAGCTTTAAATCATGGGCGAATCCCCATAGAGCCACAGCTGGACAAATGCCCAACCTAAAAAAAAAACCCTGTATAAAAGATAAATTTTGAATTTTGACCCCTCTAAAAAAAAATATTTTGCCCAAATGGTTGAAGATACTCATTGAATGATATATTTCTCTTACAAAAAATGTAAGGTACTTGCTTTCTAGTTCGTATAAAGTAGGAGGTAAGTTTTATCCAATGGAGAAATAAGTGACTTATGATTTATAAGTTGGGTTTGTATTGCCTTGGATTTGCCTTAGACCATGGAACATGATGGTCCGGGACGACAGAACCATGAGATCTTGATCAATCTCATTATCACTCCCCCCACCATCTGCTTTAAGTGCAAGATGGTGAAATTTTTAATTTTAAATATCAAATTTCCAAATACCCAAACCCCTGTTGCTACTATATGCCGGATATCACGTATCTATAGATACGATGTATTCATCGACGACTAGCCTTAATCAAAAGTTCTCTCTCATGATCAGGAGGGGTAATTAATTATAGGGGCTTGAGCCTATAGGAAACCAAAACTCAGATCATAAAGTCCTCGCAAAATGGGAGCAAAATCTTTGAGTAGTGTCTTATTCTCAACCCAATCTGCCTTATGCAAAATTTATCCCGTAACTTAATTTGTTACACCTCCCTGAAGAAAGGCAAGGGGAGGTCGGGGGCAAATTCTTGAAGCCCACATAAGGATGGTTGTGTAGCAGAGGTCGGGGGAAAATTCTTGAAGCCCACATAATGATGGTTGTGTAGCAGACAAGTAACTTTAGGAAATGATGGCTTTTATTTTTGTTTTTTGTATTTTTTTCTTATTCTTTTCTTCCATGGATATATGTGGTGGGTTCTTTGAAGCTTTCACATGCAAGTTGTCATGCATACTTTATGGTTTAATTGCCCCTTTTTTCTCAAGTTAGATAACGTTTAACTAATTCATTATTATTTTTCTCTAAGTTAGAGTCTAGGTTCAACATAACTTACATTATTATACTCTAATTTATATTACTAAAATCAATATTATTTTGGAAGATAAATGATAAAAAATTTCTCTTATAAATTTAATAGCTTTATATTGTTTAATACTTTAATTAACTAAAATTTTGCCCACCCTGGATCCGCCTTTGCTTTAAATGATGTTGTTCGTGAACATAAATGAATCGAACGCATTGTTGTTTAAGCTTGTTTATCTAAGGATCAAGTATTTAAAAAAAAATGTTCAAGTTTGTTAGTTTAATTAATTAAAAATCACGAACAAGCTTTAATCGAACCGAGCAACGAGTAGCTCGTCGAACACTTAGTTCTTTTGCAGCCCTACTTAGAGATCATCAAAATATGCTGTATAAAATTTGTTTTTTTTTTTCTAAAAAAAGAAAGCAGACCATCATTTTCCTTCTAATCCAATAACAAAGCTAAATATAAAAGGCATATGCCAGAAAATTCTAGATTTTCCGGGTTGTTTGACAACAAGCAGGATTCAGTAAATAGTTTGAGAAAACACAGAGGATTAAAACCTGAAAATTTTTTGGCAAGATATTACTAAATCTTGATAAATTTTTTAGCTGTTCGTATCATTATCTAAGATTTGTGAGAAGACAAATCCTCAAAATCCGATAAATCCTGTGAATTGTGAGATCTAACAGATCGCAGGTTCAACCAAAAACTAGTTTGAAACTAGACTTATCAAAGCAGTAAGATTTAAAATCCCAACAACTTTGCAAGCAAAATCTTGCTTAAATCCTGCCTTAGATAAGACCCTAAACAGCCCCAATTTGTAGAGGATTAAATTGGAATTACCCTAATCACCAATATGAATGCTAAAACAATGAATACAAAGCATTGCACATCCTACATTCCACCAAAGATAACTTTAATTAATTCGAATGAATAAACGGGATCAAAAGAACTGAATCTCGATCAAATTAAAACGTAATCGAGAACGAAAAATACGGAAAAAACTGTTCAAAAAATCCAGGAAAAGCAATCGAGTATACCTATAAGCGACGTCCCCGCTGGGCATCCTTTAATACAAAGACCCGATTTTGATCGGTTGTAATCATCGAGGGAAGACGATTACAGATTCATCGTTGAAGGGAAGACAGTGTTGAAAGAAAAAGATAATATTTTTTTATGGAGAAATTGTAGAAACTTGACGACAACGGAAAAGTTCAGCTCTTTTTTCTCTTGATCCCTTCCGTTCGTTGAAAAAGACTTTTTTCAACGGTCGGATATATATACATGGTCACATGGTCAATTCTCTCTCTCTCTCTCTTGGAACAATTATTACGTCCTTTGATCGGACGTAGAGCTACGTTCGGCCGCCAATAACATGTCGCCACGTGCTCTTACTCTTTATCGTGCGGCTCGACGACTTGACCTGGACTGGAACCCAGGAATGCTATGTTCGCGTATTGCGAGGTATTACTCGGTATTTGCTCGGTATTGCTCGGTATTGTTAGGTATTGCTTGGCAATAACGAGAAATACCGCTCTGTGAAGATCAATACTGAGTAATACCGAGTTGTACTGAGTAATACCTAGAAAAACTCGGTACAACTCGGTATTGCTCGGTATTACTCGGTATTTGCTCGAAATTGGTTATTGCCAAGCAAAATTGACCAATACCTAGCAATACAGAGCAATATCGAGCAATACCTAGCAAAATCGAGAAATACCGAGCCATCCTGGGTCCATTCCGGGTCGGGTTGTTGGGGCGCGCAGTAAATAGTGAAAACGCGTGGCGCGATTCTACTGGTGGCCGAATGTAGGACCAAATAAAAGTTCCTTCTCTTGAGGGATCAATTCTTCTTTGATTTCAAGTACTAAAAAAAAAAAAACTTTTTTGAAATCTTTAGTTAAAAAAATTTGATGACTGAATGTCCCAACCTACTTTTTATGATGATTTTTTTAGATATATTAATTAATTAATAAAAAATTATTTACTATTTGTATATCATCAACATCTTCAAAATAATTATAAATGATTTATTTTTTGAATAAAAATTCTATATCACTTTAATCATCTTGGTTTTTTTTTTTTTTTTTTTTTTTGTTAGTTTCTCCTTCATATGCTACAAGTGTAGAATCAATTTCACATATGTTCAAACCTTTTTGAATCAAGCTTGAACATCATCAAACATTATTATAACATTATTCATAAATATCGTGACATGCTTTGAATATTTATGTATGTAAAATAAATTTCAAATGTTTTTGAATCAATTTCATATATGTTTAAATAAGATTCAAATAAGCATATCATACAACATCATTCAAATATCATTGATATATCATCAATAAATTATCTAGATCAAGCACGGATCTCGAGGAAATTTAAGTTGGAAACTTCCAAAATTAATTTTGGGATAATTCAAACTTCGATTTTCAGCAAACTTGCATTCGAACTTAATGTCTCGAAAAGATTAATCCAACGACACTAAATTCGACTCAATTTGAGCCTAAATGGGTCCAAATCAAAGACCCGAAGTGCATTTAGAAATTTCAAATCATAAATTGGATGACCAAACGATTTTCAAATGTGACATGCTTATAGTCTAATCGAGCGGCTTGGCGAAACGAATCTAACGAGCCCAAGATCGCTTAATTATGATATAATTAAGACATTTAAATGTCCAGTAAACAGTGCACGATCAAGGGGATTAATATCGATCGTCCATTCAAACCATTTCTAAGTGGGGGTGTCAATTTTTGACACGATCCGAACCCGACCAGGAAAAATATGGGTTTGGGTCAACCCGAACCCGAAACGGGTCGGGTTCGGGTCAACCCGAACCCGAAACGACTCGGGTTCGGGTTGAACAAATCAACCCGTTTTAAAAATTGGGTCGGGTTCGGGTTGACCCATCAATCCGAAATTGACCCGAAAGTGACACGAAAACTCATATTTGACATGAAAACTCGAGATTGACCCGTTTTTGACCGATTTTTACCCGAAATCGAATATTGACCCAATTTTGACCAGAAATTTAGCAATTTTAGCTCAAATTCAGGTCATTCGTGTCGGGTCAGGTTGACCCGAACCCGAATCAGGTCGGGTTCGGGTATGGAAACCTGACCCGTTTTTAAAAACGGGTCGGGTTCAGGTTGACCCGAACAGTGCCGGGTCAGTTCTGGGTTCGACCCGAACCCGACCCGCTGACCCGAATTGACACCCCTAATTCTAAGCTTGCCCTTGATCTGCTCCTTATTTATTGGTCATGCCACTATCATAAAATTATAAATAGACCCCACATTTTATCATGGTGGGGGGACCCAAGCAAAGAAGAAAAGTAAGAGAACTCTCTTGCCATCAAACTCCTCATCGATCATTGTTGGACTTCCGCTCAGCCCTTGATTGTTGTTAGACTTTCACCTAGATGCCAACTCACATCGGGCTTCAGCACGGCCACCGATTGATGCCGAACTTCCACCCGTCGGCCAACTGACGCCATACTTCCGCACAGACACCAACTAATGCTGGACTTCGACCAAACTGCCAATTGATGCAAGATTTCTACCCGACCACCGAACATCATTGGACTTCCATCCGATTCATCACTAGATTTCAACCTCACATTGACTATTGTAATATGATCATTCTTAATTTTGAGGTCAAATCATTTACTTGTAATTTATTCAGATACTAGTGAAATTATTTTAACTGATTGTGGCTCATGGTTTTTTCATTTTTCAGGATTTTCATATAAAAATCATGTGTTCTCTGTTTGTGTGTTGAATGTCCGTATAACGTTGAGACGTAAAATTTTAACTATATCACAACGTATATTCTAGCCCGCAACAATCATATAATTCTAACAAGTTTTGTGGATTATCAAAATGATTCAAAATCAATATAAACATAGAATCATTCAATACTATAAATTTTTCGGAAATATGAAAGATTCTGAGTGAGAAATGATATTATTCAATATTTTTAGTGGGAAATATTTGATAATAATGCCTATAGGCATAAAAAGATAATTTATAGTTGGAATAAAATTTTGAATATATTTCTCCAACTAAATAAATAATTTAGATATTTGATATTTCTATAATCACATTAAAAAGTTAATTTTTATTTCTTTTTTTATGTTTTTTCCTCCCACCAAAAATATTTGACGTGACTACAGAGTAAGCTTAGGCCTACCTCCCAACAGTCGATCCTTTACGCCTTTTCGATCCATACGATGCCCTAAAGTTTCCTTCAAATTGGTCTCCAACTCCGATTGCTCGATTCTTATCCAGTGAGCAAGCCTTGCATTGTCGAGCTCTTCCCAGCGAGCCTTTCCTCTTTAGAACCCTCCTCCGTTATTCTTCTTGTCCCAGCGGTGACGCGGCCTTCCAGTTTATCTCTTGTTACCTTCTCGTTCAGCTCTCGACTCATTCATGGTAATCCGCTGAAAAACTATTTTTCTTAAACAGATTTTCACATTATATGGGCTTAAGACGTGCGACTGGCATTATTGTATCTGTTCGATTGGCTTATTATTTTGCATTAAGGATCTGTTGTTGCTGTATGTTCAGAGCGGGGTATGGTCACTGTAATAATGTATGATGCTATGATTACTTCTATGTTCATTCATTAATTGACATAGATATGAAGTGTAAAAGTAACATTTAACCAAATGACTATAATATTAAGATTGTTAAGATGACATGTAAAGTCATTGAGCGAAGAAAATGAGATTGTTAAGATGGATGTGTGATCAAGATAGGATGGATGAACTAATATATGATTATATAGAGGAATTTTTGGAATGATATTTATTGTAGATGAGTCAATTAAAATTTGATTTAGATGGCTTGGATATATACAAAAAATAAAATAAAAAATGCACCCATTAAGTGTGTAGATAAAATTGATATCAAATGATTAAGAAAGAAAAAGAGGTAGACAATTAATAAGTTTAACTGACAGCGACCATGCCTATTTTTCAATGGTTTGGGTTTATAGGCAAATGTGTAGCTCTACCATCCTTTTCATACCCATATATGAACTATTCAAAGACTATTTTGTTTCATTTTTTGCTTTCCATTTTCTTTTATCATCTCCTATGGTAAAATCTTTTTTCTATGAGATTGGTGTGGGCGTGGTCAGTGTTTGTTCAGTATACATATTAGATTTTAGCTGCAATTTAAAACAAGTTATGCTGTTGAAATGGAAACTAACCATAATAATATGATACAATGCTACTAATTTTGTCAAATTCCACAATATTTTGTGGTTGTTCATTTGCTGGATTAACATTTTTAACTCCTTTTTTTAGTCAAAGAGAAGGGGCCTGTCTTTGGAGGAGAAACGTGAGCACATGCTTCAGATCTTTTATGACTCACAGGACTTCTTTCTTGTGAGTTTAACTTATCTCTTATGTAGTTATTAGTTGTGTTATTTGTTTCATTCCTGAATTTTCTCGGGTGGGGACGGACGGACTTTTTGTTTGAGTTAACCTATCCACAAACGTGTTTTGCATGCCATTTAACTGAAAGGCTATCTACAGGTTCAAATATTTATTAAGATTATTACATGTTTTGGTGTTCTCAGTTTTTATTTTGACTGCATCGCTACTTGTTTTTTCTGCTTGTTGTTATTTTTTTTGTGGACTACGATGTTTTGATCTCATGATTGTGTAAGATTTATCATCAATGTATACTTGATGAAGGTTATACATGAAACATTGTCTTTGGCTTTTCATAATTTCTAACTTTATAATTGTTTGGAGGCGTATCTAAATGTCAGAAGAAATATTCTTGGTAAACTTTCTTGATGGAAGATGATGCTATCAGCATTTGGATAAAGTTTTGCAACTCAAACTTTTTGTAGTTGTAATATTTAGCTTTGGACAAATGTTTTAACTAATTTAATATTGCATATACCGAGAAGTCCTATGAAGGAAATCTTATGGATTCCCTTACTATAAGTTAATTTTGTTTTGTACTGTTCCCTTGCACTTCTTGATTTGCATGTTATTTTATTGTATGTGAACTGGACGATTGTTAACTACGAACTTATCATAAGACCACGTTTTGATGCTGAGGGCGGTAGATTTTAATAAGATTAGCTTTCGTGACTACAATCAATTAGGGAAGCTAGATATATCAGGGGATTGAAGCAATCAGAAATAGAGAGAATTGAAATTTTGTTTCTATTAGAGAACTCAAAAGGCCAAAAGTTTACTGAATTATGTGTTCAAGAGAGTTAAAGCAAGATCTTCATTTCTCTTCTTTTTTGCTCTCACGTTCTCTAGTATTAGGAGAGCTATGCGCAAAGGAGAGTTCAAGTCAGGTCCTTCATTTATTCTCCCACACTTTCTATAGTCTTAGGAGCTCAAGGAAGAAAAACCTCTAATACCTATCCTCATCTCCCCCTCTTAGATGAAACCATCCAATGCTTTATGAAGATGACCTTTCTGAACTGTCTTGAACAGATAAAACAGATAGGATATGGTATTATTGGAGCTATGGGGAATTGATATTTTGTTTCTTTTAGAGAAATACAGGTTTACTAAGCTATGTGCTTAAGAGAGTTTAGGACAAGCTTACTTTCTCTACACTTTTTCTCTCTGTTGTGCGATCTGAGGAAGCTGAGGAAGCGGAAACCATAATATATCTTTATAGATTGGTCCACTCGGATCTGGATTCTATAAATTGCTACTCTTTGGAGTTTATCTATAGATAATAGATGGAATTGATCATTAGATTACAGCCTCAAATCATAACTACTTAGCCATGAAGGACCTCTAATTACCTTATCTGCTGCTGAACTGACTAGTAACATGTGGGTGTTGCTTTAAATTGACAATTCGAGATCAATACCTTGTCACTATGCCTAAGTTGATAATTCCCAAACAACTTCAAAAGCGTTATTAATAGGGAACTTTTTATTAATGTCCAAAAAGCTTTTTTTTCTCACTCAATAGTCTTTGAATCAGGTTTTTTTTGACAAATGGTCTCCTTGATCGTTGTTTGATCAATGATCGAAATCGTTTATAGAAAAGAGGAACAATTGGGTCCTACGTCATAACATGAATTTATTTTTTAGTTCTCATTCCTATTTTCAAAACTAATAAGCGGAGCTTTAACAGTAAATGTTTTGATAAAATTGTGTAAAATACTGGAGATTTGAGAAGGTTGTATTGACTTTATTGGGGATATGGATAAAAAATTTGGTCCCATTCAAATTTGGTTCTTTTTGTAAATGATATGTGAATTATTTTTTAGAACTGTAATTGTGTAGCTTGTTGTACATGATTTCAAAGCATTGTTTTCTTATGTATGTGATGGACCAATTGATTTGATTGTGAGAGAATTAAGAAGTTTCCTAATTAAGAGGGAACTGTTTAGAAAGGTTCTTAATCAAAGAGAATTAATTAGGAGATATTTCATAATTGAAGATTTGTGGTTGATTTTGGGGTCGATTTAGAGGGAATTAATTTAAATTTTTTTTCTAATTGAAGAGGACAAATTTGGGGGCAAATTTGGAGGAGATTAATTAGAAAATGTTTTCTAATTGAATAGGGTAGATTTGGGGTTGATTTGGAGGAGATTAATTAGGAAATGCTTCCTAATTAATTCCTTCTAAATTGGCTCTCAAATCTTCAATTAGAAAACATCTCCTAATTAATTCCCTTTGATTAAGAACCTTCCTAAACAACTCCCTCTTGAATAGGAAACTTCTTAATTTTCTCACAATCAAATCAGCTGGTCCATCAATATTCTTCAGCTCCATGATGCAAGGCAAGCTTCAAAATGATTCATAGCACAGCACAAGGCATATTGGTATATTGCATTTATATCGGTCAATCATGTTATATTAATCACTCATCTATTTTTTTTAATAAACAGAATTCCTGATCTGATTTTCCACCGCGCTTTTTGAAATTTCCTGAACTCAGTGCATTATTTAACTGCCAATCTATCTCGTTTTTAAAATTTTTTGGAATCATGACTAAGACTTCTATTATCTGATTTTAACAGCTTGTTTTTTTTCTTTGCTTTACGATCCAGCTTAAAGAGTTGGAGAAATTGGGTCCTAAAAAGGGTGTGATTAGCCAATCTGTCAAAGATGTTGTCCAAAGTCTAGTGGATGATGATCTGGTTTTGAAAGACAAGATTGGCACTTCTGTGAGTGTACTTTTCAGAGAATTTATTCATCCAATTTGGTGATACATTGATGTTGTTAGATTGGATATTTATAACGCAGGTGTTTTGTTCTCGCAATTTATCTGCTTTTATACTTTTGCATCTCCATTTGAATTGACTAAAATAAAAAGGGGAGATTTACATACATACCATATAATACTATTTACATATTTAACACTTGAAACTTTAATATTACATACACAATCACCCATAGTTCATTTTCATATTAAATATGAGTGGTAGAAATAAAATATATGAGTGTTAGAAAAGAAATATAAGTAATATATTTGATATTAAAATAATATAGGATGGTATGCATGTAATATTAAAGTTTTGGGTGTTAGATATGTAAATAAGATGTTATAAAGTGGTATGCATGTAAATTTCCCAATTTAGGTTATGCATTGTTCAATTAATATAAGAACAAAAAAAAGGTCATGATGTCCAGACCCAATTCCTATTAGGATCGGGCTTAAAAAATTGATGCATCGCATGGAATATATGCTCATGTCGTGTAAAAATGTATGACACATGGAATCAAACCTCCAAAAAAAAAAAAAAGTGACAATGTTTTATTGTTTTGTCATAGGTTTCACAGTAAACATCTCCATGAATTTATATTTTGACAGGAAAACTACTGTATGTATTTGGGGAATTTCTATTTCATTTTTAAGGCATTTTCAATATTTATTTATTTTATTAGTTTGTTATAAAATTTACGACAAATATCTTAATTATTCATGCATTTGTATCAAAAAAATGTGATTTCATGTCATATGTATAATAGAAATACAATTTATCAAATTTTGGAGCTCATTTTGACAGGAATTGAGTTAGGATAATCTTGACCCAACTTTTGTTCCATTAATATACTTTTGTAACATTGAACTTTTTTTTTTTTTGGCTTTCTTCGTTTGTAATATATTTTTTTATTTCTAATCATCTATTTAGCTTGCCATTTGTACATCCAGGTATATTTTTGGAGCCTTCCTAGTTGCGCTGGTAATCAGGTATTCTGTCTTCTCATTACGCAGTTCAATTGGTTATCCACTTGTTTTCTCTCCCCTCTCCCTTTTTTTTCCTTAAAGAACTGTATTATTTCCTCATTATTTTGATTTTGGTAAACAGCTGAGAAATGCTCACAACAAACTAGAATCTGATCTCTCGAGTTGCACAAAACGTCTTGCTGAGCTGGATGAGCAGAGAGAAAGCCTGAAGAGAGGGAGAGAGGAATCCGTAAGCCTATTTTATTGCCTTTGTGGTTGAATGCCTTGCTGATTAAGCAGTCTTATGTCTAATGTCTATGCCAGCAATTGGGAACAAAATGCAGGTTATGTTTACTATAGCTGAGTTCAATTTCAATTCTACTCGATATAAGTGTAAAAGAAAAAAAAAAGGGAAATATTTAAGAAGTTCTCTGTAGTTCGCAAGTAATCCAAGAGGAAATACTTGAGTTCGCAAGCAATCCTAGCAATAAATGGAAAAACAACGGAAATATTGCGATAATCTCAATGAAATTAATTCAAAACGATAGATTGTAATAGTGGATTCAAAGCAAAAGCAAACACCAAGCAAGATACAATTGATCCTCAATTCGAGAGAAGGATCATTCTCTCCTAATCTCTAGACGATGAGTCTAGAGCCCAAGATGCCAAAGAAACTTCAAGAGAAACCCAAAAGAAACAAATCAAAGCATAACCCTAACCCTAATCCCCCCGCCCATACTTAAGGCATGCCATTAATTATTAAAGCCAAATTACTCCCATGCCCTTTCCACTCCCTCCTTTGCCTCCAATTAGTTTGAATTTGAATCCCTAGTGGGTCCCACTCCTTTCTCTCTCTCTATGCTGTCGCCCCTTCTCCTGTAGCAAAGTAGCAAAGAACCGGCCTCTTTGAAGGGGCCGGTTGGAGTTGGGCCGGTCCACTAGGGACCTGTCTAGCTCTCTCTCCTTCAATCCTTCTTATTTTTGCCACAAAATAGAAAAATGTTTGGGTGGAGTTGCATTCCTTTTGATAGTATAAGAGAAAAAGGTAGATGATTGAAGCTGCAACAATTGAGAGGAATTTAACTGTATCGTAAAATTGAATAGTGTTGCAGTCATCAAAGTGTGCATGGGCTGAAATTTTTTTTAGGTTCTATGGATCAAGTTCTGATTGTTTGGGAGGCATCATTAACGTCTCGTTAGGACTTGCAGCAAATAATTAAGGTGAAATCATGGAGAAAACTTGATGCGTCCCTTTTCACTAAGGTTGTTTGGTCAGAAGTATTAAGAGTTTTAATGTATTTCCTTTTCTTGTATTTAAATTTTTTTGCTGTTTGATATGAAGCAAAATAAGTACAAAGTAAAAATTTATTTGCATCCTAACGAATAAAAAAAAAAAAACTAATGCATTTTATTTGCATAGAATCAAGCAACTCTTACATTTTTAAAATATATGCATTCTAGTTGGATTGCATATTACCAACTTCATTCTTCAGAATTATCTGATAATATCTTTCCAACGTTTTTTTCTTTGCATGTAGGACGACAGGGAGATGGCTTTGGAAGAGCTAAAGACCATTGAGCTGCAATATAAGAAGTTGAAGGTAGCCACACAGTTTCTTGCAGATTCTGATGTTTTTCTAGATGCCAGATTTGCTTACTTCTGCTTTTATGTTTTGATTTATGTTATATAAGGAAGAACTTTCCCTCTTTGCTGACAATGATCCAGCTGCAATTGAAGCAATGAGTAAGAACTGCTTTAAATCCCATTGGGCAATTCATCTTTTATTCTGTTTTTTCTATTTTCCCATAATATCGTGTATGCATTTATGCTTTGATGCACCACCATGATTTATGTGTTTGGGATTGTTTTTTCATGACCTTATGATGTGGTTGTGGCCGTTTTACTACAAGTTTACTTTCCCAATAATTATTACAAGTGTACTTTCCGAATAATTATTACAGTTCTTTGGCTATATAACTTTCTTGTTGTTTTTAAAAAAAATTATGTGATGAAAAAACGATTTAATAGAGTGATAATTGTGATAGGAAACACTTGTAGCTCTCAAATATTTCCTATCAATCTTCGGAAAAAGGAGAGAATTCTCCACAAAAATCCACACAAAACCACAAAAACATCAGATAATGTATTATTTGATGAAATAGAAACAAAAAATAGCAAGATACATTTGATCCTCAATTCGAGATGAGGATCTATCTCTCCCAAATTCTCTAGACGATGCTAGAGCTCAAAGGAAACTTAAGCCTAAGAGATCACAAATTTCAGCCAAATTCAAGATGCCCTAATCCTAGGAAAAAAAAACTTATTAATGCATACAATCAAAAAGGAAATATCTAAACAGTCCATACATTCAAATTTACCTCCTAACTCCCTAAAAAATCCTTCCAAATTGGCTCACGTGGATCTTGCAGCTTGTGCGGCTCATACAGGAGGCGGACTTTTCCACCTCTTGTTACGTTGAGCCGGTACTGTATGGACTAGCTGGAAAGTCTAATAAATTGAACAATTAAAAAAATATGAATTAGCCCCGAGTATATGTACTACATAGATTCTGTCACGGTTTTGTTTGATTACTGTTTTCTTACTCATTTTAAAAAATGCCCATAGTCAGGAGAGTTTTTTGGTAATCATATCAGCTAGAATATTGCCGCAAGAAGTTTGATTATTTTCTTCCTGAAGAAAAAAGTTCATATTACCTGCATCAGCCTTCTAAAATTTGCTGTTTCTTCCTATATTTTAGAAGCTGCAATCGAGATTGCCCATTCTGCATCAAATCGATGGACAGGTATATTCCTCTAATTACTATTTTTAGATTTGTTTTAGGCCTCTTGTTGTTGAATTGCAGATGCTCTGACTGTCTTCCAAATTCAGATAATATATTCACACTGCAACATTGGTGTTCATCCAATTTTCCAGAAGCCAAAGAACAACTTGAGCACATGTACAAGGAGGTGATGCATTTTAGGCTTTGTTTGGGATGTCTTTCTTATTGCTTCTTAAAGCTATTTTTTAATACAAAAAGTAAAAATTTTGTACTTGAAAACTGCTTTAAAAAACAGTAAGAAAGTTGTTGTCCCAAACGAAGCCTTAGTTTCAAACTCTTCTAAGATCTTTTGCATTTTAGGCTTTGTTTGAGACGGCTTTCTTTATGCATTTTGAGTCTTCAGTTTTTTTTTTTTAATCGTTACAAACAAAACCTAAAGTTGCATTCTACTATAAAAATTTTTGAACTAAAAATTTTTATATTAGAAAGCAGTATGAAAGTTTCCGAAAGGAAGCCTTAGTTGAATATTTTTAATGTTTTTATTTATTAATTGTTTCAGGTTGGTATAACAGAAGACTTGGATTATCTTTGATCTGCTACTATTCTATGAAGAAGAGATCACTTGACATTAGAAGTATATTATAGAGGTTTTATAGATATATCTGTTTCACTTAGATATAATATTTTTATATATGTATGAAATTTGTAGAGGAAATTATCCATTCAATTTGAATTTTTTATCGTATAAATTGGCCTGTCAATATTTTAGAAAAAAATGATCAAATTGGTCCCTTTAATTTTTTCTAAAGGGCAATAATAGTTATAGATTATTTAAAAAATATTAATTTTGTCCCCTTGACTCCTTAAATAGCTATTAAATTAATTCTTCCGGGGGACTATTTAAGTTCCTAATGATTTAAAATAAAACTTTTAAATATTCAGAAATGATTTTGACAATTCATAAAGAATCTATACTATTTTGGTTTTTATGTGGCTTTATTATTTTTTTATTTGAGCTTTATTTTTTTTAATAATTCTAAAATTATATTTGACGTATAAAAATTTGCCTTTATTTTTAATAATAAATGGTCAAAATAACTTAATATAAAGGGTGATTTATATACATATCATTTTTTTTTTCATACTATTTGCAATATAAAACTCAAAATTTTAATATTTATTGCCTATGGTTAATATACAACTTTAATATTAAATATACAATTTTTATATTTCATTCTTAGCACTCGTATAACCTTATAAATTTTAATATTTTATTTCTTACACTTATAATTGATTCATGTCTGGTAGATATATAATATTAAAATTTTAGGTATTAGCTGGTGAGTGGAAATTTCACATTATCAGACGCATCAAATATGTAGGGTGTACCCACTGAGTGGTGCTCCCGCTAATGCAGGGTGTGCGAAGGGGTTAATGTATGCTCCTACAGTGCAAAGAGGTTGTTTCCTACATCTTTAATATCATGAAATATCCAATAGAATATGATAATTGTGATAGGAAACACTCGTAGCTCTCAAGTATTTCCTATCAATTTTTGGGAAAAGGAGAGAATTCTTCACAAAAATCCACACAAAACCACAACAACAAATAATTTGTATTATTTGATGAAATAGATACAAAAATAGAAAGATACAGCAGATCCTCAATTCTAGAGGAGAATCAATCTCCCAAATTCTCTAGACGACGCTAGAGCCCAAAGGAAATCTAAACCTAAGAAATCTCAAATTTCAGCCAAATTCAAGATGCCCTAAGCCTAGGTAAAAAAACTATTTAATGCATACAATCAAAAAGGAAATCGCTAAACAGTCCCTACATTCAAATTTCCATCCTAACACCCTAAAAAATCCTTCCAAATTGGCTCACATGGATATTGCAGCTTGTGCGGCTCATACAGGAGGCGGACTCTTCCGCCTCTTGTTACGTTGATCCGGTCCCGTATGGACCGGTCTAACAAATTGTGAGTTAAAAGTTTAATAAAGTGAAAATTTTAAAAAAAAAATTGAATTAGCCCCAAGCATATGTACTACACAGATTGTTGTCACGGTTCCGTTTGACTACTATTTTCTTACTAATTTTAAAACATGTCCATAGCCACGAGAGTAGTTTGGTAATCATATCAGCTGGCATGATCGCCGTTAAAAATTTGATTATCTTCTTCCTGAAGAAAATACTTCATATTACCTGATTATCTTCTTCCTATATTTTAGAAGCTGCGATCGAGATTGCCCATTCTGCATCAAATCGATGGACAGGTATATTCCTCTAATTACTATTTTTAGATTTGTTTCAGGCCTCAGTTGTTGAATTGCTGATGCTCTGACTGTCTTCCAAATTCAGATAATATATTCACTCTGCAACATTGGTGTTCATCCAATTTTCCAGAAGCCAAAGAACAACTTGAGCACATGTACAAGGAGGTGATGCATTTTAGGCTTTGTTTGGGATGTCTTTTTTATTGCTTCTTAAAGCTATTTTCTAGTACAAAAAGTAAAAATTTTGTACTTGAAAGCTGTTTTAAGCAGCAGTAAGAAAGTTGTTGTCCCAAACGAAGCCTTAGTTTCAAACTCTTCTAAGCTTTTTTGCATTTTAGGCTTTGCTTGAGACGGCTTTCTTTCTGCTTTTTGAGGCTTCGTTTGGGACGGCTTTTTTATTGCTTTTTAAAACGGAGTTGTAGTACAAATTTTTTAATTTTTGTACTAAAACTCCGTTTTCAGAAGCAATAAAAAAGCCGTCCCAAACGAAGCCTGAGTCTTCAGTTTTTTTTTTACTAAAAAGCTGCTTTAAAAAACAAGAAGAAAATCGTTACAAACAAAACCTAAAGTTGCATTCTACTATAAAAATTTTTGAACTAAAAAACAGTATGAAAGTTTCCCAAACGAAGCCTTAGTTGAATATTTTTAATGTTTTTATTTATTAATTGTTTCAGGTTGGTATAACAGAAGACTTGGATTATCTTTGATCTGCTACTATTCTATGAAGAAGAGATCACTTGACATTAGAAGTATATTATAGAGGTTTTATAGATATATCTGTTTCACTTAGATATAATATTTTTATATATGTATGAAATTTGTAGAGGAAATTATCCATTCAATTTGAATTTTTTATCGTATAAATTGGCCTGTCAATATTTTAGAAAAAAATGATCAAATTGGTCCCTTTAATTTTTTCTAAAGGGCAATAATAGTTATAGATTATTTAAAAAATATTAATTTTGTCCCCTTGACTCCTTAAATAGCTATTAAATTAATTCTTCCGGGGGACTATTTAAGTTCCTAATGATTTAAAATAAAACTTTTAAATATTCAGAAATGATTTTGACAATTCATAAAGAATCTATACTATTTTGGTTTTTATGTGGCTTTATTATTTTTTTATTTGAGCTTTATTTTTTTTAATAATTCTAAAATTATATTTGACGTATAAAAATTTGCCTTTATTTTTAATAATAAATGGTCAAAATAACTTAATATAAAGGGTGATTTATATACATATCATTTTTTTTCATACTATTTGCAATATAAAACTCAAAATTTTAATATTTAATGCCTATAATTAATATACAAGTTTAATATTAAATATGCAATTTTTATATTTCATTCTTAGCACTCGTATAACATTATAAATTTTAATATTTTATTTCTTGCACTCATATTTGATTCATGTCTGGTAGATATATAATATTAAAATTTTAGGTATTATATATGTAAATAATATGAAAAAAAAGTGGTATGTATGAAAATTCCCCTGCTAAAAATTATTGATAATTTAATAAAAATGAAAAATATGATTTAAGAAAATATTTTGAATTAATATATTATGATGAGAATTTGAAAATAAGTAGGGGTGTCAATTTTGGGTCAAGGGTAGGGTTCGGGTTGAATCCGAAATTGACCCGTCGCTATTCGGGTCAACTCGAATCTGACACGTTTTTGAAAATGGGCCAGTTTTCCTGACCCGAACTCGACCTGCTTCGGGTCGGGTCAACTCGATACAACCCGAATGACCCATTTCCAACAAAAAAATTGATAGTTTTCTGGTTAAAAACAGATCTATCTCCTCTTTTTCGGGTCAAAAATAGGTATATCTCCTCTTTTTCGAGTAAAAAACTGGCCAATCTCGGGTTGCCGGGTCAAAATTGGGTTTTCGCGTCAAAATTGGGTCAATTTCGAGTCAAAGGGTTAACCCGAACCCGACTTGATTTTTGAAACGGGTCAAAATGTTGAACCCGAACCCTACCCGTTTCGGGTTCGGGTTGACCCGAACCCTACCCGTTTCGGGTTCGGGTTGACCCGAACCCTACCCGTTTCGGGTTCGGGTTGACCCGAACCCTACCCGTTTCGGGTTCGGGTTGACCCGAACCCTACCCGTTTCGGGTTCGGGTTGACCCGAACCCTACCCGTTTCGGGTTCAGGTCAACCCGAACCCGAAATTTTCGAAGCGAGCTCGAGTGTGGGGGAGGCAGGGCGAGCGCTAGGGATGGTCAGAGTCATAAGGTCGGTGTCACTATGTGGTGTGGGATGGAAATCAGGATAGTTCGGATTTTTAGGTCAAGTCGAATTCGACCCAAATTTTATAATGAATCTATTTTTTGAATCCAAATCCAAACCTAACAAACTGATTAACACTGATTTGAAATGTTCGAATCCAATTTTCATGTAAAATATTGACACCGCTTACGGTCTACGATTTACGATTTACGATTTGCTTCTTCTCTTTCGATAGCCAGTCATTTCTACGTCTTGCTTTTCTCTTCTCCATTCTACGTTGCTGTTCGACTGAGGTAGGGTTTTGAACGAGTCGCTAAAATCCTACTTCGCTTCCTTCGACGACGTTCCTTCCAGTTCGCCTTCTTGCTGTTGGATCGGAAGTAGCGACGGGAGTCGCTCTCTGTGAAGGTAGCTATCTTTATCCCTTTCGCGCGCTTCTTCAGCCAAATCCCTTAAATACACCGAACTCCAGGATTTAGTAAATCCAGGATTTGCGGCAAAAAGAGGGAAACGGAGGATTTTTTGTGTGTTCCCCCATTGAATCAGACTTGTATGTATCATCATCTTCCATTCCTACCAATGTCTGGTCTTGAATGAGATTAGCTGCGCATCCCCATACTTATCCAGAGCATCTGAAACAGAAAACCTTAAAGCCATTGTATTTCTTACAGAACCAGAGAAAGGCAACACAGCATATTTGCTGGCCTCAATTTGCTTTTGGCATTCTTCACGAACCTTTACATTCCCTGGACAGGTATCCTCTTCCAGATTTTTGACCTTTATGTGTTTAGGACCTTCCTAAGAGTTAATGCATACCTCATTGATCTAGTGGCTTTTCCTACACCGGGGCATTGCTCTTGACTTTTGATTTTCCTTGTTCTCTTCTGACATATGATTTTGCTATTTAGGTAACACAGAATCAACTTTTATTTCATGGGATGTTGCAAATAAAAATTTTTTATTCCACCAAATAACTTGTATATCTAGAGAAGAATCATAAAAAAATATTGAGATATGTGAATCAATTATTTATATTAGTAACATAAATAATATAAGATGCATTAATCTTAGTTTCAGTAATAGAATCAATCACCATCTCAAGTTTAAGCTAACCTCAGAGTCAAGCACAGCAGGAGGAATATTGTTGATAATTGATGATCAACATCAAACTTATATATAGAACCTAGATGATCACAATATTAAACTTTATGGACCAACTTGACATGATAATAAAAAATTATGAACTAATAGAGGTGACAAAATTGCCAGAACTTTTGTATTGGTGGAGATTTTTAAATATTTGAAGCTCAAGAAACTAGTGTACGATATGATCTCTCATCCTATTGATATGGCTTTGGATGAATATGAAGATTCAAGCAAATAGTCAAAACACAAGAATGCACTCAACTTTATTTAAAATTAAATCAGGAAACAAGAACTAGTTTCAAATGTAAAATTTTGAAAATCCAGCAAAACCGTAAGGAATATCTTCAAATAAGAAGCTCTTTCTATAGCTAATTAGCAGATAAACAAGGGCGGAATCAATACATAAAGGTCAGCGAAGAGGAAAAATGTATTCTCTGACAAGCTTCAAGGAAGATCAAAGCCACTTACTAGATCTAGGGTTTCAAGCAGGCCTCTTCACAAGCTGGGAAGAGGCTGGGAAGAGGGGAATAACGGGTTGTGCTTGATAGTTGAATACCCGCGGAATTATGATAAGTATATATATACGCAACTCACTTTGGTGTTGGTTTAGAGTTTTGACTACCAACCAAGAGGTTTTGAGTTCGAGTCTCGCGTATGTGTTGTGAGTCTAGTAGGACTCGAGCTGACTCGCTTTACACCCCTAGGCATGACAGCATTTGGATCTCAATCCTCCATTGTCTACTTCCTTTGTTCATATTGCATATTTATAAACTGTACATTAAATAGAGGTATAATGAATGTTGTTTTAATGATCCATGAATGAATTGAATATGAAATAAAAAATTTATCATTCCTCCTTTTTCTCTTCAGTGAGAGATCTCATACCTTCATGTCAGTTTATCTCTCTCTTTCTACATGGTTTCACAATGTAATGATCCAGCTCTTTCATTCAGGATCTCTCCACTCTCTCTCTCTTCCCCTCTCTCTTTCTCACTCACTCTCCTTCCAAAACATTTTTTCTCTTACAATTATTTATACAAATCTCTAAAAGAAATCATGAAAATCATCCTCGCATGCATGCTGAAAAACTCATCAGTCTTCTTACTCTAGGCATGTTTCCCACAATTCGGTAAGCTTTTTTCCATTAGAGAAAATTCAATGAATAACAAATTAGTTTCAAAGCCAAATTCAAGAAAATGAAGAGAAAGATCAAGAAGTTAAGAAATAAGAACCTCTCAACAATTATTATTATTATTATTATTATTTTTTAAGAACCTCTCAACAATTTGGTATCACAATAATCTCTATCTACATTAGCACAATAGTTTCCATTTTCTTACTTTTGTACTCAGGAGTTAATGTTTTTCCATTCAACTATTTTTCTTTTGGTAGTCGGAGTAGCTCCAATAGAAGATAAGATTAGAGAAAGTCGTCTTAGATGATTTTGTCACATAGAACGGCGGCCTTCCGATGACCCGGTTAGGAAAATAGAGTTATTAGATTTGACTTATGTTAAGAAAGTTAAAGGTAGATCTAAAAAGATTTGGTTAGACAATATTAGACATGTTCTTCCTTTATTAGATTTAATCGAGAATTTGACTTTTAAAATGACACAATGGAAAAAAAAAGGATTCATATAGCTAACCGCACGTAGTGGGACAAAGAATTGTTGTTGTAGTTCGAAGGCTGTGCTTCTAATTCCTTGTCTTGATCCTGATAACATAATTCTCTAAAACATTTTTTGTTTCATCAATTCTTTAGCAGGATCGAAGCAAGATGTCTTCCTTTTCAGGATACCAATTTCTCGCCACCAAGACAAAGAACTTGATTGTTGCCGGTGGCTTGACTGGCTTTGTCTTCGGAGTCTACTATTACACTATGAGAGCAGTTGGAGGCTCTGATGAGTTGCAGGTAGCGATTGACAAGTTTGAAGAGTTGAAGAAAAACTGAAGAAGTGGAGTCTTCTTTTCTGCTGCCTATATCCTTCCAACTCTTTCTCCGAATACAGACAAATTTTTTTGCTTCTCTCTTTTTATGGCAAACCATATTTTGAAACCTTAATTTGTTTGTGGAAGAGTAGCCTTTCTCTGATTAATTTTCTCATTAATAATATAGATAAGAAAGAATCTATTGTATAGGACAAGCAAAGTAATGTGATGAAATTTTGTTCAGGATATAATTTAATACTCTTGAATTTGCATTGTTGCACTCATTTCAAAGCAAATTTAATAATTATAAAATTTATTATCATGCAAATATATTTTTTCTAAATTGCATGCCTGAAACTAAGAAAATAAGATTTGAATTTCCCAGATGAGAGGCAGCCAGCATAGGTTGTGTTTGTTGTAGAGGAACAAATGGAAAGTAAATGTTGTTTTATGAAACAATTATATCTTGATTGATTTGTTTGTGTGTAATTTATAAGAAATTGATTTGTCTCTTTTTGTTTTTAAGTCTTTTTGAATGTTAAAATAAAATTGAAGTGTGTATATGTTAGGTTGTGAATATTGCAAGCTTTGACTATAGAAGCTTATAGGTTGGAGTTAACCGTTACAAACCCTAATATTAAAATGTATTCAAATTTTTTGGATGGGATGGTGGCACCGAGAGCTTGGATGGATTCCATGGAAATCGTCATTTTACTTCCACATTCCAAAGAGATTAGACCCCTCCTACTAATTCTTAATAAGTATAATCTCGGGGAGAGTGTGGAAAAGAACTGAGCTTTAGGGTTTGAATTTCTATAAGAATTATAGGGTAAATTAGAAGCAAGAAGGTAAAGAGAATTATCGATGCAGAGCAGGTGAAGAAAGTTAGCTCCTTTACTTAATTTCTTTCTTGTTTTTGCTCTTAGTCACACTGGTCCCAGAACTATATATCGGTCTATTCAAACTTAACTCGAGAGCTGGGAATCATAAAGACCAAGAAGGAGATACCTGCACCTACTTCTCTTTTGCTAAGTTCTTTTCTTCTAATTTTCTTTAGTTCTTGTTTCCTATAGGTGCAAGCTCTCATTTTGTGAGGACTTTTTGATCTGAGTTCTGGTTTCCTATAGGCGCAAGCCTCTATAGTTAATTACCGCTCCCGATAATAGGAGAGAACTTTTGATTCCGCTAGATAAGATTAGAGAGAGTCGTGTTAGATGATTTGATCGCATCAAGCATCAGCCTTTTGATGATCCTGTTTGGAGACTTGATGTATTAGATCCGGCCTATGTCAAGAAAGATAGAGATAGACTTAAAAAGACCTAGTTTAAAAGTGTTATAAATGACCTTTGTTTATTGGATTTAAATGATAATTTAACTCTTAATAGGACACAATAGTGAAAAATGATTCATGCAGCCGACTCCATGTAGTGGGATTAAGGTTTGATGTTGTTATTGTTGTTGTTTTTAGATTTTTTTTTTCTTTTAATCAAAAGCTTAGAATTAGTGATATGCTTACTAACGAGTCAAGACCACATTGAGTCGATCTTTGATTGAGTTGGGTCGGAACGACATAAGTTTTCTTGGGATTAAATCAATTGCATTTTGTTTTGAATCAATTGCATATATGAATGTATGTGATGTGTGTTTTTTAAATCAATTAAAAAATACACGTGCATGTATTAGATGATTTTTTGAATTAATTACATGTATGAATCAATTACATCATGTGCACGGTCATTTATATTAGTTTCCATTTTTAATGCATTTTTGAATCCAATCATATTTTCAATTCATTACCCTCTTCTCCTTCTTCTCTATCCTCCTCAGCTTGTTTCTCTGTATCCAAGAAGAAAACAGAGCAAAAGAAAAGTAGGTGCAGGTAGCTCCTTGGTTTTTATGATTCCCAGCTCTCGAGTTTAGTTTGAAAAGACCGATATGGAGTTCTGGGACCAGTGTGACTGAGAGCAAAAACAATAAAGAAATTAAGTAAAGGAGCTAACTTTCTTCACCTGCTCCGCATCGATAATGTAACAGTAAATTAAAAACCTTTTAAATTTAAACTGCTTGGGATTCTTCCTCAGCAAATCATGGCCCTTCAATTTTTTTTTTAATAAATACGAGTTTTCATCGTCTCTTTGAATCCCCCCACTTTCGTCTCTTCGCGGGAGGTCTCAAAGAATCGCTAAAAAAGCTCTTGGCTGCTGTGGGATCGGAAGCCACGACGGGTGAGCTCGCTTTGCGGGAGGATTCTGAGAGAGTAACTAATAGAGACTCTTCGCCCCTGTAGGATCGGAAGCAAACTTTGCTTTTTGGTTCTTCGGCTTGGCGTTAAGGGAAGTTTTGAAATAGTCGTTAAAGGAGCTTCTTCTCCTTCTTCGTTTTTCTTCAGTCTTGCATTAATGAGCTTTGGATGGTCGCTGTGAAGGTAACGATCTTTCAGAGCCGTAAGTCGCTAGCTTCTTTCTTTTTTATGAATCCTAATATGCAGACGATTAATTTCCTGATTCAAAGATAAAAAATAATAGATGTAAACACTATTTTTTTTTTCTTCTTAAATTCACGCATTTTCAAATTCCACTCATGGAGTTATTCTTCTCGATTCTATTGGTATTGTTTTTTCTTATTCTTATGGCTTTGATTACTTTAGGATGGGCTGAGATTTAGCGTCGCTTTCTATAGCTGATCCTTTTGGTTCTCCAATAAAGAGCCTCATTTGTAATCGATTGCAAATAATAATGGATTCATTCAAATTGGGCTAGACCCCGTGGTTTTTCCCCTTTTCAGGATTTTCCACATAAAAATCTTGGTGACTTTTATTAATGATGCACCCTCTCTTTTTATCTGATTGTGTGTTGAATCTTCGTACAAAATCTAAGATGTTAAACTTTATATTTCTCTACTGCCGCGAATAATCCATGACGCAACAATTTATAATTTTAAATTATTAATCTTGTAATTTTTAAATTTTATTCAGATGCATATTATGGACGCAAATGTATTGAATGCCAAAAATATTCAAGTAATGTTATGGTGTGCACTTGTCCAGAAAGTGAACATTTGTTATTTGTGATGTTTGGTTTTATGCCAAAAATATGTAATATTTTTCTATTTTGATTTATACACTATATTGAAATTCATTCTTAAGTTTTATATAAATTTGAAGCTATTTTGAAAAACATTAAAATTAAGTATGAGAACAATTTAAATCATCTTCAACTTAACAATTAGCTTTGTTTAAATTTTTATATAAAGTCATTTATATCAATAATAACTGCCCCCAATTTAGAATTTATTTTATTCTTTTATAAAATTAATATTTTTTTCTCGTTAAAGAATGATAACATAATTAAAATATTCATGATATAATTTTTAGTTTTTAATTTTTATTCGCACGAGTGCACTAAAACTAGTTTCTTAAATACTCTATAAGAAATATATATCAAATATTTCTCTATATAAAACTTTGAGATAATAATAATGATACAATTTTGTTAATATTAATGATTGAGAGAGAATGTAAACATCCAATGTGAAGATGAGGGCAAATTATTGTGTCCGGTATCTGGATTTATTCGGACACCAATAAAAACGTGTCACGTCACTCAAAAATATCGGGCCCAGTGCATCCACTGAGATGGCATGTCCGGATTGGATGTCCGCATGTCAGGTGACCAGACGTAATAATTTGCCGAAGATGAGGGATGAGAGTGAAGAAAATGTTATTGTCGCTACCATAACGGTCTTTTCTTCTCTATTGTAGGAGTTCAAACAAGAACTTCTCCTTGCTATAGCGCGCTAAATGCTTCTTCTTTTCATGGAATAAAAAACTACCAACATCTCTTTCTTCTTAAAGGAGAAGAAAAAACCATCTCACAAGCACCTATAAAATTTCTCTCTCTCTCTCTCTCTCTCTCCCTATTTGTTTATTAATAGATGATGCCAAACTATTCATTCTAAACCACAATTTATAATGATAAGAAGAATTGAAATTTTTAGCATATAATTTATTATAAGATCCTACTAGATAATACAATATCTTTTAAAGTTAATAAAAGATCTCGCAATATCTCTCAAAGAATAAATGATTTCTTCAACATCTTTATATTAGTCAAATATGTGCATTCACTGAGAAGATTCAAACATATCTACTGAAGGTTTTATTATGACCAAATTAGGCTCCATTATTCCCATAATCTCCTACTTGGAAATACACATTTTTTATTTACTAATTTATTGGTGGTGTAAACACACTTCTTTCCATAACTCATCAGAAAGACTCAGCTCTTTAGTAGGAGAAATTATTACGTGCGGTCACCGGATATTTCGAAGACCAATCAAGACACACCACATCACCTGATACACAGTGTGGTACACAGTAAATTGATGATGTAGCATATTATGATTGACGTTTGATAACCGCACGTAATAATTTTACCATCAACCGATATCATTTTCACAATCCTTTTATTATGATGAATTGTGGGACATCAACTTTTAAGTATGTTGTGTATGTATCTTCTATGATTGTGATATGCATTTGATTTTGGTGACAACTGAAATCTAGATGTACCTGGTTGTACTCATCAAATTTAGACTTCGTTTGGTATAATTCTTTTTACTATTTTTCAAAGCAATTTTTTAATTAAAATTTTAAATTTTGTACTATAAAACTGCTTTAAGAAACAATAAGAAAGCCTTCACAAACGAAGCATAAACCGCTACCTTTTAGTTCATTATAAGAACTTATAATATCCAAAATGTCCATGAAGAATCTTTATATTCCATCTGGAGAAGAATTATTAGTATAACAGAACATCGTCGACATAAGATTAATTATGAAGCCTTTACAAATCAATCAAATTCTATATTACATTAATTTAATAAATGTTGATTAAAATTTGATCATGATGATTCTCATAACCATTGAATTTATTTTAAGATGAATGTTATATGAATAACCAATTAAATTAATTTTATATTAATTTTAAAAGAAATTAATAATTTTAAAAATTCATTATAATAAAAAATTAACCATTTTTTTGATAGATTTTTTTTTTCTATATTCTGCTAGAACTAGTTTTGCAAGTAAAATAGGAAATGTAGTGGCAAAGTCGGCATAGGTTGTAAACAAGTCGAGTTGAGCTCGTGTCATTTCTAGTTTGAACTTGAGTTTGATTAAGTAATAGAATTCAAGCT